CATGGTTAATAATTTAATTAGAGTCAAATGTGCATGATCTAAAAGTGGAAGCAAAAATTATAAAATTTTTAAATAAAGTGCTTTCTCTTCGTAAGTAATACACTTGAAATGTACTATTTAAGATACTTATTCTATTTGACCCTGTGGTGGTCAACATAATACAGTGTACTCAATATTTGAGTTGGAAATTTAAAGATGGGTGACGAAACTATTTCACGATTGTCAAAATGGTTTTGTCAATGGTTTCATTTGATGATACTTCAACGATTGATACAATTGACAAAACTATTGATGATTGACAAAATTACTGATGAAACTATTGACGAAACTTTTGGTGAATCTATTGTAATTATAAAACAAAAAGATCAATTCATAATATAGATGGGTGTCGAATTTCAATAAGGAAATTAAAATAATAATTAATATTGTTGCAATTTCCTTTTTGGAATTTTGGCACCCATGTGGATTAGTTAATGCTATATTATTTCTGTTGGAATCTAATCGACATTTCTGTTTTAAAACTTTTCTTATTCCGTATTACTCACTAACTGTCGTAATATAAAGTATTGTATTGTATGTGGATTGGTTAATGTTATATTATTTGTGTTGGAATATAATCGACATTTCTGATTTAAAAGTTCTCTATTATTCCGTATTACTTACACTAGAGGTGCGATCCGTAAACTATTCGTGTATTATATGAATTCAAAGTTTTTAGTTAGTACGTGTACAAAATCCATAATACTGTATTATTATCGTTATATCGATATCGTTTATATGTAATAAATAAAAGATTTTGATTGGCCAGTTGGCACATGATCTGCAAAGTGACCAATCATGGCGCGATATTCAATTGACGTGATCAAAAAGTTTCTGGTTACTTCACTCTACAGTAGCATAGCGGGGCTTTATTATGATTGGCTGATTTTTGAAGATCATCTTATCATAATGAGGTCTTATTAAAGTAACGATTTTCTGTCACGAATATGAATTCCTAGACACAAAAAGATTAGAAAGTTCACGTCTTACTTAATAAACTGTCAAAGTAATTCGGTAATCCGCGAAGTAATTCGGAAGTTAGATGAGAGGTATGTTTGAACGTTTAAGTTTAACTTAGAGGACGGTAAATCAATTAAACTCGGCAAGTTAAGCTGTCATATTTTGTGAAAATTTATTCTTCGTAATCCCTACTAATATAGAAACTGACTGTAATATAGGCTAAGAATACGAAATGGAGAGTCATAAGGTTTATAGATTTTGTGAGAAGAGTTAAAACGAAGTAGTAGTACTGTAACTGTATAGCGATTATTAAATAAAATTAAAGG